TCTTTGGCGTGTCGTGGTGTGTCTTTGGTGTTCGTGGTGTGTCTTTGGCGTGTTCGTGGTGTGTTCTTTGGCGTGTTTCGTGTGTGTGTGTCTTTGGGTGTGTGTCGTGGTGTGTCTTTGGCGTGTTCGTGGTGTGTCTTTGACGTGTTCGTGGTGTGTCTTTGGCGTGTTGTTTGTGTGTGTGTGTCTTTTGGTTCGTGTTCGTGGTGTGTTCGTGTTGTGGCGTGTTCGTGGTGTGTCTTTGGTGTGTTTCGTGGTGTGTCTTTGTGTCGTGTTCGTGTGTGTGTTCGTGGTGTGTCTTTGACGTGTTCGTGGTGTGGTCTTTGGCGTGTTCGTGGTGTGTCTTTGGCGTGTTCGTGGTGTGTGTCTTTGACGTGTTCGTGGTGTGTGTGTCTGGTGTGTCTTTGGTGTGTCGTGGTGTGTCTTTGGCGTGTTCGTGGTGTGTCTGGTGTGTGTGTTCGTGGTGTGTCTTTGGTGTTCGTGGTGTGTCTTTGACGTGTTCGTGGTGTGTCTTTGACGTGTTCGTGGTGTGTCTTTGTGTGTGTGTCTTTGTGGTGTGTGTCGTGGTGTGTCTTTGGCGTGTGTTCGTGGTGTGTCTTTGGCGTGTTCGTGGTGTGTCTTTGGTGTGTGTTCGTGTGTCGTGGTGTGTTCGTGGTGTGTTCTTTGGTGTGTCGTGGTGTGTCTTTGGCGTGTTCGTGTGTGTGTGTGTGTGTGTGTCTTTGGCGTGTTCGTGGTGTGTCTTTTGGCGTGTCGTGGCGTGTCTTTGGTGTTCGTGTGTGGTGTGTCTTTGGCGTGTTCGTGGTGTGTCTTTGGCGTGTTCGTGTGTGTGTCGTGTGTGTCTTTGGTGTGTTCGTGGTGTGTGTCTTTTGGCGTGTTCGTGTGTGTTGTGTGGTGTGTCTTTGGCGTGTTCGTGGTGTGTCGTGGTGTGTCTTTGGCGTGTTGTCTTTGTGTTCGTGTGTGTCTTTGACGTGTTCGTGGCGTGTCTTTGGCGTGTGTGGCTTTGACGTGTTCGTGGTGTGTCTTTGCGTGGTTCGTGGTGTCTTTGGCGTGTGTGTGTGTCTGGTGTGTGTGTGTCTTTGGCGTGTTCGTGGTGTGTCTTTGGCGTGTTCGTGGTGTGTCTTTGTGTGTTCGTGGTGTGTTCGTGGTGTGTCTTTGACGTGTTCGTGGTGTGTCTTTGGCGTGTTCGTGGTGTGTCTTTGGCGTGTTCGTGGTGTGTCTTTGTGTTCGTGTGTCGTGGTGTGTCTTTGGTGCGTGGTGTCGTGGTGTGTCTTTGGCGTGTTCGTGGTGTGTCTTTGGCGTGTTCGTGGTGTGTTTGTGGTGTGTTCGTGGTGTGTTCGTGGTGTGTCTTTGGCGTGTTCGTGGTGTGTCTTTGACGTGTTCGTGTGTGTCTTTGGCGTGTTCGTGGTGTGTTCGTGGTGTGTCTTTGGTGTGTTCGTGGTGTGTCTTTGGCGTGTTCGTGGTGTGTTCGTGGTGTGTCTTTGGTGTGTTTCGTGTTCGTGGTGTGTCTTTGGCGTGTTCGTGGTGTGTCTTTGGTGTGTTCGTGGTGTGTCTTTGGCGTGTTCGTGGTGTGTCTTTGGCGTGTTCGTGGTGTGTCTTTGGTGTGTTTGTGGTGTGTTCGTGGTGTGTCTTTGGTGTGTTCGTGGTGTGTCTTTGGTGTGTTCGTGGTGTGTCGTGGTGTGTCTTTGGCGTGTTCGTGGTGTGTCTTTGGTGTGTTCGTGGTGTGTCTTTGGCGTGTTCGTGGTGTGTCTTTGACGTGTTCGTGGTGTGTCTTTGGCGTGTTCGTGGTGTGTCTTTGGCGTGTTTGGTGTGTCGTGTCTTTGTGTCGTGTTCGTGTGTGTTCGTGGTGTGTCTTGGCGTGTTCTTTGTGTGTCTTGGCGTGTCTTTGGCGTGTTCGTGGTGTGTCTTTGGCGTGTCTTTGGCGTGTTCGTGGTGTGTCTTTGGCGTGTTCGTGGTGTGTTCGTGGTGTGTCTTTGGCGTGTTCGTGGTGTGTCTTTGGCGTGTGGCGTGTCTTTGGCGTGTTCGTGGTGTGTTCGTGGTGTGTCTTTGGTGTGTTCGTGGTGTGTTCGTGGTGTGTCTTTGGCGTGTTCGTGGTGTGTCTTTGACGTGTTCGTGGTGTGTCTTTGGTGTGTTCGTGGTGTGTCTTTGGCGTGTTCGTGGTGTGTCTTTGGCGTGTTCGTGGTGTGTCTTTGGCGTGTTCGTGGTGTGTCTTTGGCGTGTTGGTGTGTCTTTGGCGTGTTGGTGGTGTGTCTTTGGCGTGTTGGTGGTGTGTCTTTGGCGTGTTCGTGGTGTGTCTTTGGCGTGTTCGTGGTGTGTCTTTGGCGTGTTCGTGGTGTGTCTTTGGCGTGTTCGTGGTGTGTGTGTTCGTGGTGTGGTCTTGTGGCGTGTTCGTGGTGTGTGTCGTGTGGTGTGTCTTTGGCGTGTTCGTGGTGTGTCTTTTGGCGTGTGTGTCGTGGTGTGTTCGTGGTGTGTCTTTGGCGTGTTCGTGGTGTGTTCGTGGTGTGTCTTTGGCGTGTTCGTGGTGTGTCTTGTGTGTGTCGTGTGTGTGTCGTGGTGTGTCTTCGTGTTCGTGGTGTGTCTTTGGCGTGTTCGTGGTGTGTTCGTGGTGTGTCTTTGGCGTGTTCGTGGTGTGTTCGTTTGGCGTGTCTTTGGCGTGTTCGTGGTGTGTCTTTGGCGTGTTCGTGGTGTGTTCGTGGTGTGTCTTTGGCGTGTTCGTGGTGTGTTCGTGGTGTGTCTTTGGCGTGTTCGTGGTGTGTTCGTGGCGTGTCTTTGGCGTGTTCGTGGTGTGTGTGTCGTGGTGTGTCTTTGGCGTGTCTTTGGCGTGTTCGTGGTGTGTCTTTGGCGTGTCTTTGGCGTGTTTACTCTGGTGTTTTCTCGCTCACCCCAGCCGGTGGTGCACACAGATGTGTACGACGTGAGGCCAGCGTTCTCTGATCACACGGCTCAGTTTGGAGAGCTCTGATTGGACCATGGACTCGTACGCCTCATACTCCAGACCAATCACTCGCCGGCCGTCCAGCACGTCCTCACGAGTCACACCTGAGACACAAACACACAAACACTCAGGACTACTGCGGCGCCAGTCCTGGTTCAGTTCTGGTTGAGTACCAGTTGAGTCCTGGTTGAGTCCCTCTTTAGTCCTGGTTGAGTCCCTCTTTAGTCGTGGTTGAGTCCCTCTTTAGTCCTGGTTGAGTCCCTCTTTAGTCCTGGTTGAGTTCTGACCGAGGAACACAGAAATGGCGCCGCACTTGGGGCTTGTGACGGTCTCGACCACTTCCTGAAGCGACAGCGAATCAGAGCGGAGCTTGAACACGTCCCTGCGCTCGGGCCAATCGGGCGGCTCCATCGCGGTTCAGCCTCCGCTGAGGGGCGGGACCACGGCGACCTCGTCTCCGTCGCAGAGCAACAGTGAGCGATCGTCGTCAACGGCAACAAACTCCTGCCGCACGGCGAGCACCAGCGCCCCCTGCAGCGCCGACAGACTGAGGACACACAGGGGTCACAGGGGTCACACAGAGGTCACACAGGGGTCACACAGAGGTCACACAGGGGTCACACAGAGGTCACACAGGGTCACACAGGGTCACACAGACCTCGGGTGGCGGTGCTGTAGCTCCGCCCACAGGCCCCGCCCACTGGTGGGTGTGGCCACAGAAACAGGCTCCTCCCTCAGACCCGTGAGGTCAGCGCTCCGAGCGAAGTACAACACTGTGACCTGAAACACACAACACACACACACTGAACACACAACACACTGAACACACAACACACACACACAACACACAATGAACACACAACACACACACTGAACACACAACACACACACTGAACACACAACACACACACACACTGAACACACAACACACTGAACACACACACACACACACACACACTGAACACACAACACACACACTGAACACACAACACACTGAACACACAACAACACACACAACACTGAACACACACACACACACTGAACACACACACACACACTGAACACACTGAACACACTGAACACACACAACACACTGAACACACACACACTGAACACACACACACTGAACACACAACACACTGAACACACACACACACACTGAACACACAACACACTGAACACACAACACACTGAACACACTGAACACACACAACACACTGAACACACAACACACACTGAACACACACACACTGAACACACACACTGAACACACAACACACACTGAACACACAACACACACACACACACACTGAACACACAACACACTGAACACACAACACACACACTGAACACACAACACACTGAACACACAACACACACACTGAACACACACACACTGAACACACAACACACTGAACACACAACACACACACTGAACACACAACACACACACTGAACACACAACACACACACACACACTGAACACACAACACACACACACTGAACACACAACACACACACACACTGAACACACAACACACACACTGAACACACAACACACTGAACACACAACACACACACTGAACACACAACACACTGAACACACAACACACACACACACACTGAACACACAACACACACACTGAACACACAACACACACACACACTGAACACACAACACACACACTGAACACACACACACTGAACACACAACACACACACTGAACACACAACACACACACTGAACACACAACACACACACTGAACACACAACACACTGAACACACTGAACACACAACACACTGAACACACTGAACACACAACACACAACACACTGAACACACAACACACATGAACACACAACACACACACACACACTGAACACACACACACACACACACACTGAACACACAACACACACACACACACTGAACACACACACACACACACTGAACACACAACACACAACACACACACACACACACTGAACACACAACACACACACACACACATGAACACACACACACACACTGAACACACAACACACTGAACACACAACACACACACACACACACAACACACACACACACTGAACACACAACACACACACACTGAACACACACAACACACACAACACTGAACACACACACACACACACACACTGAACACACAACACACACACTGAACACACAACACACACACACTGAACACAAACACACTGAACACACAACACACACTGAAACACACACACACTGAACACACAACACACTGAAACACACAACACACTGAACACACACACACACACACACACACACACTGAACACACAACACACACACTGAACACACAACACACACACACACACACTGAACACACAACACACACACACTGAACACACAACACACTGAACACACAACACACTGAACACACACACACACACACACACTGAACACACAACACACAACACACACACTGAACACACACACAACACACTGAACACACACACTGAACACACACACACACACACTGAACACACACAACAACACACTGAACACACAACACACACTGAACACACAACACACACTGAACACACAACACACACTGAACACACAACACACACACTGAACACACAACACACACACACACACTGAACACACACACACACACACACACACATGAACACACACACACACACACACACACACTGAACACACAACACACACACACATGAACACACACACACACACACACACACACATGAACACACAACACACACACAACACACTGAACACACAACACACACACTGAACACACACACACACTGAACACACACACACACACACACACACTGAACACACAACACACACACACACTGAACACACAACACACACACTGAACACACAACACACACACACACACACTGAACACACAACACACACACACACACACACAACACACACACACACACACTGAACACACACACACACACACACACACACACACTGAACACACAACACACACACTGAACACACACACACACACACACACTGAACACACAACACACACACTGAACACACACACACACACACACACACACACACTGAACACACAACACACACACTGAACACACACACTGAACACACAACACACTGAACACACACACACATGAACACACACACACACACATGAACACACACACACACACTGAACACACACACACACACACACACACATGAACACACAACACACACTGAACACACAACACACACACTGAACACACAACACACTGAACACACAACACACACACACTGAACACACACTGAACACACACACACACACACTGAACACACAACACACACACACACACACACTGAACACACAACACACACACTGAACACACAACACACACACTGAACACACACACACACACACACACACTGAACACACAACACACACACACAACACACTGAACACACAACACACACACACACACTGAACACACACACACTGAACACACAACACACACACTGAACACACACACACTGAACACACAACACACACACACTGAACACACACACACACTGAACACACAACACACACACTGAACACACAACACACTGAACGCACAACACACTGAACACACACACACTGAACACACAACACACGAACACACACTGAACACACACACACACTGAACACACAACACACACACACACACTGAACACACAACACACACACACTGAACACACAACACACTGAACACACACACACTGAACACACAACACACACACACACACACTGAACACACAACACACACACACACACACACTGAACACACAACACACTGAACACACAACACACAACACACTGAACACACAACACACTGAACACACAACACACAGTTTGTGTGTTCAGTGTGTGTTTGTGCGTTAAAATTTCATTAAATTAAAAATAATTTCTATTATTGAAAATTATAAAACACAAACTGATCTGGAAACAGTCGGACTTTAAGTTTTTATTTTTTTTTCTTAAGTTTTGAAGAATTTCACATTTTGTCAAAATATGACCTAAACTCAAGTTTAAAACTCTTCAGACCTCGATCAAACTGAAGCACGTTTCACTCTGGTCTGGTCCTGGTCTCTGGTCTGGTCCTGGTCTCTGGTCTGGTCCTGGTCTAGTTCTGGTCTAGTTCTGGTCCTGGTCTCTGGTCTTTGGTCTGGTCCTGGTCTATTCTGGTCTTTGGTCTGGTCCTGGTCTAGTTCTGGTCTTGGTCTGGTCCTGGTCTAGTTCTGGTCTTGGTCTGGTCCTGGTCTGGTCTGGTCTGGTCCTGGTCCTGGTCTGGTCCTGGTCCTGGTCCTGGTCTCTGGTCCTGGTCTCTGGTCCTGGTCTCTGGTCCTGGTCTTGGTTCTGGTCCTGGTCTGGTCCTGGTCTAGTTCTGGTCCTGGTCTGGTCTCTGGTCCTGGTCCTGGTCTTGGTCTGGTCTGGGACTCACTTGGACCTGGGACATTGATCACGCGGGTCACGCGGGGTTTTTACGGACACGTTTGTTTACTGTGCGTTTGACGTCAGTACGTCGTCGCGTCAGTACGTCGTCGCGTCAGTACGTCCTCGCGTCAGTACGTCGTCGCGTCAGTACGTCGTCGCGTCAGTACGTCCTCACGCACTGTGCGTCTGCGTCGAGGCTGAGCAGCGCCGCGTGCAGGACGGGAGAGGAACTTTTTGTTTTCGTCCAGACACGCGCCGCGGAGTCGAGTCAAGGACCTGAAGGATCTGAAGGACCTGAAGGACACACTTTTGTTCCTTTATTTACGCCTCTGTTATGAAGAATATTCTGATATTTTCTCTTTTCAGCCGCGCAGCGTCTCGCTCCACAGGTGCTGCGGGGCGCATGCGCACTATGCCTGTGTGCCCGGTGTGTTTTAAAAACCACTTACCGCCCGCCCGCCCGCCGGCGGGCGATTTTCCAATAAAAAATGTTCACTCTGTATATTCACCTTCATTATTGTTTTCACTACTGGCCATACATCGTTTGAAAGCTTAATTTATCAATAAAACAACCATATCATTCATTTTATGTCGTACAACGAGCCCGAATTTATGTTAATTTAAAAATTCACATCATAAACAAAGAATAAGATACGTGTTTCTTACCTTTGAGCGGTTCTGTCGGTCCAAAACGCGTTTAATCCATGAAAAGTTGTACTCAATAAATCCGTAATAATCCACAGAAAAAGAATATCAAGTTGTTTTTCCAAAAAATAATTCCATGTGGGGAAATAATCCAGAAAACCGTCGTCCGTATGAGTGGATGAATCCGTGAATGAAAATATTCTGTCTCTTCTCCGCCTCTTCTCCCGCTCTCACTTCCCTTTCTCTCCCGCTCTTGGGTGCGCTTGTTTTCCTCACACTCTTAGCTTCAAAATGAGACCCTCCCCGCTGTTGTCGGTGGCGGGTTTAGGTGGGACAAGCCGCTGAAGAAGCTTTTTATTTATTTATTTTTTCAAAAATGTATTTATTAAATGACAAATCGCAATACAGAAAATAACATA